CGATACATCTCACTAGTGTAATGCTCTTTTTTTCTTTCTGTATTCATATTACACCCCTTCATTTAATAATAAAAATGCTGTTAGCGCAATCCCTGTGGAAGTAAAATCTGAAACGCGATCAAGTTGCTTATCTTGTTAAGAAGGCAAGTTATCAACATAGGTTTCGATTTGTGAATTGCTATCTATTACTAACACATGTCGATGGTGAAATATATTGGTTGTTAAATGTTAAAGTGAATGAGAAAGAAGAGCAAATAGCAGATATTTTAAATTCAGTCATGTTTTATACTAATTCTACGATAGACTTCAGTTTCGCGGGTATACCTCTCACGATCTGTCATGAATTGTTCCTAAGATGTCTGTCATGCCTGTGGGCAGCGGAGGAGTATTGGGTTCAAATCTCTATCCCTATACACTTCGACACTCCTTTTAGATGGTGTTTCACAAAAGTCTTTAAAACATTTTTTTATCATTCTCAATACAATGGAAAGTAAAACTATCTTATAGATTGTTCATTTTAAGTATGATATAGGCCATCAGAACAAGTCAATAAGGATTTGTTCAGACAATTTTTGTAGAGCTTTTCACGACGCATCTTTTAAAAAACTTCAAGGTTTTATCTTTTATCTAAGCCGAAATATATGTGAAATAAAAAAACGATTCAAACATGTTGTCACCCGCGGTGTAGGTGGACGTTACATGATAAATAAGAGAAAAAAAATGAAAAGAAACACACCTGACGTATATATAATTGCGTATATCACCTTCATAAATACCTGATATATCAATTGACATCACAATTTTTTGCGAAAGTGATGAGTTTATTTTTCTGAATAGTTATATATATACCCCCATAAATATTACAATAATCATAAAATTTTTAATTTCAGAAGTATATTATTGAATATTACTAAAATGGTTCGTTTTCATTACTGGTTAATATTTATGATATTACTTGTTATCACAAATAACCTTGCTACTGTCAATGGAGAAACTGCACCCTGCAATTGCAAATCTTTGAATGGTCGATGCATCTCGGGAAGCAAAATTAGAGAATATAACAATAAATGCTTAAGCTGTCAAACCAATTCTGATTGCTGCCTTCCTTGCTGCCCTCCTGTCTTGAGACTAAATGAGCCACCTTGTTGTGATTGCGGCTACAGAGGCTGAGAAGGTATGTTTTACAAACATAACGTATTATTGCAAATTTTTAACCAAACCATTTCGAATATCTGCTGCTATTATATTTATTACTAATTATTACAAAGAAATTAATTAATTCTTTTTCCATATAGGTTCATATTTCAATATAATTTTTATCATGATTGATTTATGCTCTTATATGTATTAGTTCTACATCTACATTTTTAATAAATAATAATGCTCAGAAAAGAAAATCCATAATCAATGAAAGCATTTCTGAAGAATAGATGATATATTATATAATACTATATCAGAGATTTGAAGATGAATAACATTGCAGTTCTCCTGTAAACATGAAAGCTGCCTATCGATAAAATGATTCTTTACAAAATAACAATAGATAGTAAATCGCCGCATGGAATTGGATACTCACAGAAATCTCGTCTCATCAGACGACGTGTTTTTTGGTTCGAATACCGAATACGATGCGGTCAAATAGATAAAATAAATCGACCTATGAATTTCTTTTCAAAACTTAGCTAGATCAGTTATAAATGAAACAAAAAAGATTTTTCATACAATGAGCTTTAATTGTCTTCTTTATATCTGTAAATCTCTTTGATTACCTGTATACTACACAAAAGCAAGAAGAGAATGCATAATGAATGCAAAGGGTGGGGACGGGTATGGGTGTGGGTGGGTGTGGGTAGAGGTGTTAGCCACCGATTTCTCGCCGCCACCGTCGATTGAATTAGAATGTATAGTTCAAACTTCTTCCTTTTCTAAATAACCAATTAGGCGACAGAACAAAAAGGTATGAAACATATAAGTAGTTGCGTTCGCATTACACATTCATTGACACAACTGACATTGCTGGTAACATTGTATTATATCTGACAAGTGAAGAAAAACTGGTTACTCCGCTAGGATGACGCACTGTGTTCGAGATGTTTACATCACACTCCGTTCTTTAAAGACCGGTCAATCTCTTGCATGGTAATACTTTGGTCAACTGACATCATTAAAAACAAAAAGAGCGATCGATAACAATACTGTTTTTTGCAAGATTTGCTTTGACAAACAACTCAATGAGCATCCTAATGATCCATTATCGTCATTAGCGATACAGAAACAACTTACTCGTTACACCGAGAACGTGAGCACTGAAAGTATGCTTCTACATCTTTCTACGAAACACGGAATCGGCAGTAAAGAACAAATGAAAAATCACTGCTGAGCATGTTTCAAATTTCTTCAAACCGTCAACATATGCAATAACGAAATCGACCAAAGATCATAAAGAACGGCTTGCTTCTGATTTAACATTAATGTGCTGTTGCGATCTACTACCATTTTCTATTGTATCTAATGAAGGCTTCCAAGATTTTTTGATAGCATATGGTATTGTCAACACTCTCGACGATATTCCTTCTCGCGCGACACTCAATCCTTTTCACTTAAAAAAATTATATGATCCGTACATGGATCGTCTCAATGAAGAATTGAAAGAACCACCGCATTTCCCAGGTATGACATGCGATATGTGGACAGACAAATATAGATATCGCTTTTATATTTGCTTCACTCTTCATTTTGTTGATTCATTATTTATTTCACATTCGTATACTCTTCGAAATGAATCATTCGATCATCCACATACGTCTGAAGCGATTAAGCAATGCTAGATCAAAGTCTGTGATGATTTTGGCTTGAATACTGGGAAAATCATTATTGTATCAGACAAAGGTTCAAATGTACAAAAGGCTTGGCGTCTCGCACATAGTATGTATTTATCGTGCGCTGCCCATGGTCTACACAATTTACTTATGATTGATGTTATTCCCAAAATCGACGGGCTATCAGCGTTGCTGGACAAAGTTCAAGCAATCATCTCCAAATTGAGATATTGTGAAAATGAGCTACGTGATGCATTTTTATCCTCGAGCAATCACTCAAATGATGCTATGATTGCAGACATTCGTACAGTATCGGAAATATTGGATGCTGATATGTCGTCTCCGATTGGACTTGATGAAGAAGAAAACAATGGCAATACACCACTCGCATTGCTTCGGACAACGACGATTGTATATGAAGGACATCTAATAAAGCGTTCGACCGAATCAAAATAATTTTATACGCTGAAAAAACGAGTACCCACAACGTTAGAATACGATTCTCATCATGCTTCGATCATTCTTGCCCAATATCGACGCCATTGAGACCGTTCTTATCCGAATGAATAATACAGATATGCTTTCATTATTCGATGAGTTGGAATTACTCAAAGTTTTCGTAATCTATCTATCAGCATTCGAAAGTGCTACAAAGATTTTGTCTGCCTCAAAAGCATATCGAACGCTATGTCTTTATCTTCTTCTTCGCAAGGAGATTGAATGAATTTCTCAATCCGATGATGGTGTACAATGAGTTCATGCTCAAATTAAAGATGCTCGTTCAAGAAAATATCAACAAACGTTTACCCGTTTCTGCATTCATCTGTACAGTTTTCATATTAGATCCATCTCTCTCAAAAATTGATATTGACAGTTGTCTTCAAACCATTGGAAAGTTCGAACAGAAGTTGCTTCAGTCGATGATTGGGCGATTCAAATTGAATAACAATCAAGATTTAACAATATCGCCTAGCAAATTGGTGATAACAAATGGTTCTTCTATTTTAGCGTCGCCCAATGCTTGTGCATCATCAACGTATAATACTCGCAAGCGCCGGCTTTCAATCGAATCTCTCGACAAACAAGCGATTGATTTAAAGAAGCTAAAAACAAATCTCATCGAGTTGCATAGCGAGTCAACTGTCCAATATTCTGAATTATCGAGTGAAATCAAGGCCTACTTACAAGTCAACGTTGTGTGTGACGATATTCTATTGTGGTGGAAGAATGCGAAAAATTCGTATTCACATTTGGCGCAACTGGCTCGGATAGTTCTGACCATTCCAACTACTTCGACACTATCTCGAGAAGTATTTTTGACTGCTGGCTTAATATTATTTGCAAAACGAACAAAACTTGCACCGGAGACTGTCGAAAAAGTACAATTTATTCACGATAACTATTCTATGTTCAAGTAGATTTAAATGATATTATTGTTGTTTCTGTTTCTGCTTCCACCATGCGTTATTGTTATTTTTCTTTAACTTATTGTACCTTAGAACATTGAAATTCTTGACTTGATGAAAATAAACTGAAGTACAGTGGAAAACCTTTTTAGAAAAGGAGAGATCCAAGTTGCAAGAGGTATACAACGTTATAGTTCTGTGAGAACGGAACGTCTAATGTTTACCTCAGTAGTAGAGGATCACGAAAAGACTGAAATTATATACGAAGGATTTCGCCACCGCTGATAAAAATATCGGCTAACACCTCTACCCATACCCCACACCCTACACCCACCCACACCCCCACATCCTACCACACCCACACCCGCCCACACTCACATCCACCCTGCATGATGCACAAGCTTGAAAGTAAACCAAATAACATGCGAAAGCTATATGCATGATTACTTTAGTAATAAAAGATATTGAATCTTTGATCATGAATTTCTTTTAATAATAACAGTAAATCGTTTTTCATGTTGTTTCATTCAATTCTTTTAGAGTTTTAATGAATAATCTGCATAAGTCAATCCTACCTGTTGAACGTGATAGTATTTGAGCATCTGTACTCGCTTAAATCTGAGGGGAAAAAACCATCACTGTCTTATCAGAAGAAAGATGACGCATGTTGGAAATATGACATGTTCGTTCTGCACGTGATACTTGAGATAAAGTTATCAAACAAAAGTTTGAATGCAAGACGAAAAAGTCAATTGAACTTCGTTTTTTTTCAACGATGTCTTGGTTTGACACTTTGATTCGGCGGAGTAAACAATATTCAACTGATCATGAGAATGAACAAACAATTAACCATGACAATCTAAGTGAACTCTATGTCGCATGTTTTGAAGGAGATCTTGATCGTGCTCATCGATATTTATCAAAAACTCCATTTGCAGAGATAAATCGTCGAGAATGTAATGGTAGTACTGCTTTACATGCAGCTGTTCAATGTGGTCATATTGAAATGATTGATCTTCTTTTAAATAAATATGGCGTTATGAGACATTTATGTGACAATCAAGGTCGAACTGCTTATGATTTAGCAAAAAGTAACGAAATTCGACGATTATTTCAACGGCCAACATCGAATGGCAATCGATTTTGTGAAAAGCCTGATTCGTTGGAAATGTTTAGCAGTTTTCAAAAAAATAATAAAGAAAAATCAACATTTAAACGAGTAGAAACCTATGGCAGTTATGATGAAGTTCGTCGACGTGAGACTCTCGCTACTTTTTACGAGTTTCAACGGACGAAAACCAATAACGACTTTTTGTATAATTTTATTTTTCAACGATCGATCAAACGAACTGAAAAAGAACAACTTGAAGTTTTATTAATGATTATTGAACAATCGATCAACCCATCTGATCTTAACTATAACAAAGCTATGGAACTCTTTCATGAGTTCTCAAAAAATAAAAACCCAGAGTCATTAATTCGGTTATATACACTTGAAACACCGCTTTATCGATTTATTAATCGAGGAGATGATTCCAAGATGATTTTTGCTACTTTAATGAATAATTGTAAAGATTTACTTTATGGTCGATCATTCACAGGAACGACTTATCGAGGTTTAGGAATGACATCAGACGATTTACAAATTTATCATTGGGCACGAGAAAATCCGGATCGATATTTACAATTGAATACATTTTGTTCTTCTACACTCGATGAGCCTTTAGCAAAGATGTATGCAGACGCCAATGCCAATGAGCAACAGAAACAAGTTTTAATTATTTTCAATTTTTTAAGACCAAGTGTCAATGCTATTGGTTTGTATCAAATTTCAAACCAATTACATTCTTATTCAGATTTTCAAGATGAACAAGAAGTTCTTATTGTGCCTGGGATCGCTTTTTCTGTGACAAATATTGAACAAACTTCATCTTTAATAACGATTTCGATGACACATTTGAATTTAATTGAAAAGATGGCAGAATTTGAAAACATTTTAATTGATGAACAGTTGTCATCCTATTGAACATTTTCTTGAAATACTCAATTGTTCATTAATAATCAAAAGTTTAAGGTGTGAATAAAGATAAGACACTCATCTACATTCATTCCTAGTATAAAATTGATATAACAAGTGCGAAACTTAAATTCAACGCAACATTTATTCAAAAAATTCGATTCAAAATTTAGTCTGTGATAAGTATCACAGATAGTAATGGAAAAAATAAGCAAAGAGACGAAGTTCTTGATAGGTTCATTGAAAACAAAGCCTAATGCATGGTTCCATCGGTGTCAATACTGGAACAATAAGTAATAGCATAATCTAAACGTTCATACATGATTTCTTTTGGGTGTGGATGTGGGTCGTGTTCTGAATTCATCCCACACCCACATTTACACCCCACACCCATACCCACCCACACTCACATACCCCACACCCACATTAAATTTAACATCAAGCAAAGATTTATTTTTGTTGTATCCGAACATTGAGTTTTAGCAATTTGAGGCCTCATATAGGCGAAGTTCTAGCTCTTTGCAGTTTCATGTTAATCAACCTCCAACTAATGGATCATGTTTCACGGATCGAACTGTAGGAACGACCAGTACACTTTCATCATTACTTGCTCCAATTGGATAGAGAATGAAGACATTGCAGGCTATGTCTTTTACGGTGATATATTTTCTTTTCTCAGTGCATGATTCTAACAGATGTTTTGTTTCTTCGTACTCCAGCACCGATACCAAATAGAGCAAATCTCATTCCAATTGGATTTACTTCATGCTCGATGCTAAAAGCCTATTGACCAACAGACGGAACAGAAAGAAATAGTAGTGTTTATTTAGTCGTTCGTATTCGTGATCTATTCGGAGCGATAAGTGAATACGAGATCGAACCAATAACGGTATGAACATGTGTGCTAGCTACTCTTATTGACTGAGAAACCTTTTTGTTTATATTTAGATTATCCGTCACTCACTGCCATTAGTCGAGTTTCTAAAAGAAACACAAAATGGAGAGCATATCGACGATATCACAGGGTTCATTGGTCACATTTTTTCATGGTGGTAATTCAATGGGACCGTGTCAACTATTTTTTTCTATGGCACAAATGCTGAATTTTGACAGCTACATTCAAATACAGGGCATCGCCTCTCGTGAGTATTTTAAAATTTAGTTCTCGCGTTGATTCAGACCCAAAAAAAAATAGAATTAGCCAATTTAACGATCAATAGTATCTTTATATCTCCATATGCCACAGTTCCAATTGAGATATAGTCATCACCAAGTTAGTCTGGCACACAGCTTTTGTTGCTTTCTCTATCACAGCCGAAAATTGTTTCAGATAATCTTGCATGGACTAAATATGTTACAGCGTTGAACAAACGCGCAAAGGCACGTGAATTCGTAATAAAATTTTTGTATGACGAGCTCGAAATAACATCAATTGAAGGTATTGAATTGAAAGCGTCAGCCTTAGCTGAAATAACTCAAGCCACAGCAGAACTTACTCGAAAAGCAGCGGTAAATCCTCCCTACTATCTTACATTTTTTTTTCGTAAATATTTTTTCCATCTATTTCAATAAGACCGCGAGTGCTAGGAAATGTGTCAAATTTGTCGATATACTCCGTCGATCTTCCGGAGATGTCAATTTCGAAGATCTACAATTAATAGCAAAATTGATACTTATTTCAAGCCGTAATATCATCATAGTAAATCACATATTTTATATGTATTTCTCACTAATGAATTGTGCTTATTATAAAGTTGATTAATGCTTCCTTATTCGATCATGCCCACATACTTGATTGGGTTTTCGCGGATTCAAATCAATTACCTAATGATTATGATACCGATATTGAATTGATCTGGTCTGATAATTGTGAGTTAGATATAGATCAACACACAATTAAATGATTGTACTATTTTTATTTTAGATCTATTTGCCAACGATGACGATTTTTCGGGGAAAACAATTGAATACAATCGTAATATTTACTATCAAAAACAAGCCGTATGTGAATCATACATTCTGTTGAAATTTTTATGGGTCTTATTTTTCTATACATAGATCACATACTTGCGGTGGCAAATTGATAGCGCTCTCACTAGTTTATTCTCCATACTGAACCATCATATGAATATTGGTCAAAAATTGGAAATCAATACGGGTGCTATTGACATGACAATTGAAAAAACGCGTCTTAGGAAATTAACATATAGACGGTTTGAACAATCGAATGGTGCGACTATTATATTGTCAAAGATTAACATCTGTTTACATAATCAGTCAGAAGATGCCCTAGTTACTGTGAACGTACGTAAGTAAGTCAAGACATGATTTGATGTTTTATATTTATTTCTAGTTTATTACACTGTCATTTGCAACATATGCACAAATAGCAAAAGTCACTCAATTTTTCAGCAGTGTATCATTTCCATTATTTGACGACCATGATCAAATAATATCTATAAGAAACTGTACACCTGTCGAAATCATAATCCCACGCGATGTCAACTTCCACATTCCTCCGATGGTTCCACAAAAAACAGTACCCGTCTCTAAAACGAATAGTGTCAATCAAAATCTCCTATTTTGGCTTTATTACGTCAATCTAACGAGTCTTGTAAATGACGAAATATCACTTCATTTTGAACTGAAACCAAATAATACGAATGCAATAGATCTACTTATTGTGAGGTTTGGTGATATTCCTAATCTTCATTCAAATCATTATGATAAATGGCAAGTTTTTTGTCCAAAAAGTGTTTTCTTATATTTCATTTAAATCGTACATAAATCGTTTTCTAAATTCAGGTCTCAACGTTGACTCAATATACACATTTTCTGTCACAAAAACTCATCTAGTAAAGCATCAATCAGTCATTTTTGGTGTTCGAGAGCTCAGTGAAATTAATATCTGTGAAAAAAATATAGCTGAACCTCCTGAAATTCATGATAAAGCACAAATGTCGGTCAACTATTCATTGTGTGTTTATGCATTTGGCTGCTATTATTTAGACGAGCATAACAATTTACAATCAGATGGAGGTATAGTATGAATCTAGTCGATCGTTTTACATATATTTTTCTTTCTATTCTTTTTTTCTTATTATCTGCAGGTAGGAGCGAAATCCACGTGTCGTTTCACTCAATTTTTTTTGACGCATTTGACCACATTTCTCAGTGGTTGGATTACTCTTCCAGATCCTATTAATTGGAATTATGTGGTTAATAATGTTCAGTTTCAACGAAACAAAACTATCTACATAACACTGATCATTATAGCTTCAATTTATCTGATGGCTACAATCTTTGCTAAGTATAAAGATCGAAAGGATGCTAGCAAAGTGAGCTCTGTATGCCTAATTGATTCTAGTTCTTTTTATTTACTTGTTATAGCGAACTGTAATACCTCTTCAAGATAATGATTCACATAAAACTTATCTTTATCAGCTAGTTGTAATCACAGGACTGAGAAAAGGTACTGGAACAAAATCAAAAGTTGTGCATAAGTTTATCGATATGATAGGCACTATAAAAAATTTATTCATTACATAGGTCAGTTTTATCATTTCTGGTGAAGATGACGAAACAGAAGAACGAACTTTAAGTGCCAATCAATCAATACTCGAATGTGGAAGTGTGGATTCATTTATTATGGCTGTGCCGAGGTCTAAATATTACGATTATCAAACATGGCTATCTTGAATTTTCATTTGTCTAGGTCACTAGGTTCTCTTAGCTATCTTTGAATTCGTCATGACAATTCTGGCGACGGATCATCTGCCTCTTGGTTTCTCAAATACATTCTTGTGCGCAACCTTCAAACAATGAAGACCAACTATTTTATTTGTCAACAATGGCTAAGTGTTGAAAAAGATTCGGAATTGGTGCGTTAAAAGAGTATATTCAAAATGCCTAATTGCTATTTTACTTTTCAGATTGAGCGAACATTGTTTGTAGCTAGTGAGCTACAAATAAAACAATTTTCATATCTTCTCTCAAAAAATGCTTATCGATCTTTGGCCGATAATCATTTATGGTTTTCTATCTTTGCTCATCATGTGCCGATATTCACTAAATTTACTCGTGTGCAACGATGTACATGTTGTTTTGTCTTTTTATTCATGAGTCTTTTGATGAATATTATCTACTATGATACTCAGAATACAAATACAACGACGTCGGAATCTCTCAATTGTTTTTTCCATTGGACCATTTTACTTTGCAAAAGAACAGGTGATTACTAATGTATCAATGATGAATAAAAATGTACGATTTTATCTGATTTTTGGATCAGTATTGGTATTATAGTGGAGCTGATAATTTTCTTTCCAAGCTTGTTGCTTGTAACTATTTTCGACGATCAAAGACTTGTCAATCACAAAAAATTCTACCTATCGATGTAGTATCTCGACTGATTGACAAGTCACAACCTATTCACTTGATCGAAGACCAATTCAAAAAAACTATATTTAACAATTTCCTTCTTTCTTGGTGGTCTGTAATCATTGCTTATATTATCTCATTTCTGTTAGTAATTACTTCGACAACATTCATTGTTGCACACAGTGTTCGAATTGACGATTTTAAAACACGCTAATGGCTTACATTCATTGTTACAAGCTTTTTTACCTCGGTTTTCCTTACTCAACCATTTAAGGTGCTCGCAGGTACTCTGTTCTTCACATGTCTATGTCGTAATAGATCCAAATCGGAGCCATTTCTTGAAAATGACGATATTCATCCTCAATTGACTTCATTTCACAATGATGACAACCGACTGCCTAAAGTAATTTGAAAATTCTTCTTATTCATACTGTCGTTGGTAGGGGAGAATAGAAGAAACAGGAATGCATCATGCTTGAAAAAGTAGAATTAAAAAGACAGTATACTTACAAAAGTTTTGTGAAACAAAATATATCCACTCTATCAATCGAAATTCCCTTAGAAGAACTCGTAGTTTTTGTCGAAAGTGTGTATGATAAATACTGGTTTTTGAAATTGAAATTTCATCA